AACAAAATAAACCAAAAAACACAAAACAAAATGAGACAAAAAATCTGAGTTGTTGAATCAAAGGACAGCACGTCTTTCTACAGCATTTCTCTACTTACTAGTGACCCCAAACTCTTAGTACATTAGAATGCTCCTTCCTTGTAATATGCTGAACAGAAATGAGTCCCAAGTCCAAATTTGTTTTAAACCAATCTCTCTCTCTCTCTCTGTTTTTCTACCTGTCCACTAAATATCTTCATCCAGTTGCACCTCAAATACAAATAAAATAAAATAGTTTGTTTTAAAGTATTTGTTTTTTCTGATCATTAGTACACAGATACTTACTGTATAGGAAAGTTGAAAAATACAGAAAATTATTAAGAAGAAGGAAGAGGTGGTAATGGAGGAAGGAGGGATAGGAGAAAGAGGAGGAGGACGAAATATGTCCCACATATCTACTCTCTGAGAAAACCACTGTCAACGTTTTGGTCAATATTCTTCTAGTATTTTTATCATGCATATTTAAAAAAATGTAGTGAAGTTCATGTCTTACAGGTAATTCAGTGTCTTTTATTTGAAAAATTATTTTTCATATGAAAGAAAAGCACAGTGTTAAAATTTAGAACATACAAGCAAAAGATAATACTTTTTGACATTTCAATGTGACCTTGAAATCTTTGTTTGTATACATGTATCTTTCTAAAAACAATGAAATAATGTCAAACTACGTATAATGTTAAAGAACTTGTCTTCTTCACAATTTTTTAGAACATCTTTTTTATGTCATTAAACATTCTTCCAATTCTTCCTTGGCATTTTTATTTATGGCTGTACCATGGTTAGTGTCTTCAAAAAATTATTGTAACGATATTGTGATGAATATGTTAAATTTTCACATGCATCCATGGTAGTTTTTTTTTTGAATTAACATCCTAAAAAATGAAAATTCTGGGTCAAAGGTTGTGCATTTTTGAGGCTTTGGTACATTGCTGAAGTTCTTTTGAGAAATGTGTTCTTTCACAATAGTGTATGAGAGTCTGACAGTCTCACCTCTACTGGAGAAATTTTATAAATCTTCAAGTGTATAGGTAGAAAATACCATCTCAACATTCCAATTTACATTTCTTTGATTAAAGCCAGGGTTGAGTATTCTCTTACAGGTTATTTTGTTGATCACATTTCTTCTTTTACTTGTCTTATCTTTCTGCTCTTTGTACATTTTCTACTAATGTCAACATCTTTATCTTATTAATGTGTAATACTCTCAGTAAGTTCCAGAGTAGTACTAATTTAACTGTCATAGGTTGTAAATACTGTTCCTGACTGACTTTTGTGTTTCAGAGTAGTGCCACATCTCTTGTGATTGAAAAAAATGTGAGACTTTACGTAATTAAATACATTCCCTTTCTTTAAAATTTCTGCTACTAGAAATGAACAAGATCTCCTTTATTCTAAGATCATTTCACTTTTATTTGCATTTTCTTCCATGTCACTAGTTTTTAAATTATGTGATAGCTCTTCAAAATCTGACACAAGAAGAATGTGGCCATTACCTTCAGAAAAATGACAGGTAAGGGTAATTAAACATAGACAGGCCATTTGGCGAAACCATCAAGGTGGCCTAGCACGGGGTGAAAAGATATCGCATATGTACAATATTCACCCGTTCCTGTCACTACATCCAAGAGCTCTGTTAATTTGCTCTTCCAGTGAAAGATGTTGGAAATAGAAAACATGTTAACATGGGGTTTATGTTTAAAATTTCAACTACTGAATATGATGACTCTTCTCACCTTTGCCAGAACAGAAGCTTCAGATGGCCAAGACCTTTGCTTTATTCACTGATGTATTTACTGGAAGCACAGTGAGTGGCATATAATACGCACTTGAAGAATATATGTTGGATGAGCTGACGTTTTATCACCTAGGGCTATGTACATGCCAGGTGCTGGGTGGGAGAGGCAGGGGGGATGAATTCTGGGTTTCCTTACCTCATGTTAAGGAGATGCAAACTCTAAATGAAGGTAGAACCTAAATTTCAGTTTTACTTTTAAGTTGACTGTAGAGATACTGATCTGAGTGTAAATGCCTCAAACCTGGCACAGCAGGATAGGATGCTAAATACTGGAAAGTATTCAGAGAAAAAATTCTGTTGGGCAGATAATTAAAACAGTGGCATCCACCCACCAAGAGAGACAAAAGGTACCACTTGACTTCATTTGATGCTATGGCATTTGTCCAAAGCGAGAAAAAAAATCAGATCTGGCTTTATTTGAACAGAACAAGGAAGAACTAGTTCTCAAGAAGATTCTTTCTTACTGTGTGGGGGAGGGGGAAGGTCATTCTGTGTAATAACAGAAAAGTCAATTATTTTTCAATCAGATGGAGTGTCCTCATAAATTCAAGGCAGAGAGCAGCACGTGACATGCCTTCATGAATACAATGACCATGAGGGAGAGAGTTCAGGATCATAACCTTCACATTGCTACTAAGGAAAAGCTATCTTTCAAGAGCAGAACACTGTTCTTGCTAGTGTGGTTTTGGGAACATGCACAGTGGTATGTGTTGTATGTACACAGTTCCCCATCTGTCCAATTTGCTCCCTATTTGGTTATAATTTTTTTTAAAGTAATGCAGTACAACATATCTCTCTTCACAGTGTAACATCATATAGGTAACACAGGAAAACCTAAAACATTAGTCCTAACTAGCAAGAATTTATAATGTGTATAATATATATTTATACATATTAACAAGAAAATGACCAAAGAAACAGAAAGGATGATGACTTCCAACAAAATATAAATCCCACTTGTAAAGATTTTTTTCAGTTGTCAGAAAACACATGTACTTGCCAGAGAGAGATACGAGAGAGAAAGGCAGAAAGCACCTCCCACAATGGAGTGCGCTCACAAAACAATCCCTTCTTCTCCATTTGTCTATCCTGCCAGGATTTTGGGCACACACACATGCATCTGGCATGTTTTGGAAGCTGCTGGGGCTGGGACTCAAACTATGGTCGACAATGTGGGATCTGGTGCTCTTAAATACTAGGCTACCAGGACAGACCTATCTAAAAATTTTTATTAATATAAAGATGAGAAAGTTGCTCTTGCAAAGTGACCTAAGGAGAGTAAGACAGTTGGAAAGATGGTCTTCAAGTCTGCATAAGGGGCAGGGAAATGAGTACCCCTGGAAAATATGTACAAAATGTATAAGGCTCAGAAGGCACAATCATTAAAGCCTATTTACAGGGACCAGCAGATGACATATTGGTTATGTTGCTTGATTTCCAGTCGACCACAGTTTGAGTCCCCAACTTAAAACTCACACCAGGCATGTGCGCATGTGTGCTCAAAATCCTAAGAGGAGAATGGAGGAGAAGGGAATTGCGGCATGGCCATCCCCGCTGCGGGGGGCGGGGGGAGTGATTTATCACTTTCTGTCTCTCTGATAAGTGCACAAACCCTATAGCAAAAAAAAAAAAAACCCCAAAAAACAAAAGCCTATTTACAATATTTAAAAGGTAAATGAATGTAAGGGGATCTGCTCTGCATAAACTTCCTAAGTTGGGTATTGAACTAGCATATTACATGTCCATCAGTCTCAGCAAGTGCGGTAGATTCACGATGAGCCTGGTGCCTGGGAACGACCTCCATTTATTTTCTGCCGGCACTAGTGCTCAACATGCTATCTATCTGGCAGTCAGAAGTGCATCCTTCCCTGGTGTTTCCTCAGACCCTGGCACAGACAGGAGGGCAAAAACGTGAGGAATGAAAGCCTATCTGGTGGGCAGTTCACTGACTATTAGGCCATCCTGTTCAAGTTGAAAGACACATTGACAATCCTTTTGTGCTGAGGGTTGGCAGACATTCCTGTATTTTCTAGAGGGAGAGACCCTGATTGACCCCAAATAGAAATGCCAGTGGCTAATTGCTATCAGTACAACCCTTGTACTTCACAAGAATAACAAGGAACCTAAATGCTGCGGCCACTCTCAAGCCCGGTACCTTCCTAATTCACCTCCAGTTAGTTGGGATTCAATAAGGAAGGAAGATATTACAAGAGTGTCCAAGGAGTGCACAGTTCAAATGACTCCAGCTTTCTAGGAACAAACCTACTTAGAACGTCGGTCACACCCATAATAATACTTTGAACACTCTAACTTACACAGCCCGATGAGATGACACTCTAGTTTTGTTTGTGCTGACAAGAGCCGTTTCTTCCCCAGAGAGTATCCTATTCTTTGTCTGATGCCAAGAAAACTATAAGAAAAATGCTGACCTGCGAAAGTGACACATCATGCTTAATCACTACGTGCAATTAAAATAATATAAAATGCAGCACTTACTGGACAGCCCAGGCAGAACATAACTTCTCAAGCAACAGACACACCTACTGAGACACTGGAGATTTCTGAGGAGTCTGGTTCCCAGCTTTGAGTCAGGCGCGACTCCATGACATCAGGTCTTGAGCTGCCCTGGAGAAACTCAGGGCAGAGCTGTCATAGCAAGCTGTGTTTTCCGAACAGAGATTTCCCAAGAGTTGTCTCAGCTTTTCTGTACACCAGACTCTAAATGATGGGAGATGAGCTTTGCAATAGTGAATTCCCCCTCCTATTCCCTCCAATCCTGAGCCCGGGGCAGAACACCCGCCCCTCTTCCAGTATTTTTAAAAACTTACTTCTTGAATACTGCTCAAAGGTGAGTATTTAACAGCCAGAGCAGAAGGGGGGGGGTAATAGGAGGTGGAACAGCACAATCTTCCAATATTCATGCCAAATCAACTATACTAACAACTGATATTTCAGCCCCTTGGAGGCCTCCTGAGGATACCAACCACAGACAGAGTAGCCACGGGCTCCTGTGACCCTGTCAGTAAACACTGCTCACCAGGGGTCCACAATTGCCCAACCTGGCAAGAGAATCAGCCTCCTCACAGCAGGGAAAGACACTATGTACCCAAAAAAGTCATGACACCATGAAGAAAATACAAGTGCTGATTCCCAAAGTACATCTTACCTTGTTCATACCGCAAGGACGGAAGCAAGGGATCAGACATGTCACAATGCAGGGCAGCTCTTGAAGATTCTCCTCTTTCCTGGAGCTCTTCCTTCCAGAAGCAGGTCGCTGCACTGTGAACACCACAAACAAGAAACCCATCAGTGGTGCCAAGGAAGGCACAAAGCAGACCTCTATCCAGTGGAACTTCTGCTATGATGATCCAACCCATGTCTGCTTTGTCCAGAATAAAAGCCACTTGCCAGACGAGGCTACCGAGCACTTAAAACATGGCCAGTGCAATGGAGAAGTGAATTTCTATGTAACTTTAATTAAATTTAAATAGCCACATGAGGTTAGTTGCTACTATCCTGGTCAGTGCAGGTCTAGAGTTCAATTCAGAGTCTTGAGGCACGGGTCAGCAAGTGGTATGGCCATTAAGGCAGCTGGGACCCACATAGCCAACTCTGCTGTTTGAGTCCTAAACCCAGTGGCTCAAAAATAACTCCAGGTGTGCATGTTGACACACATGCCCAAAATCCCAAAAGGAGAATGGAGAAGGGATTGTAGTACAGGCATCTCCCTGGGGGGTAATTTCTCACCTTCCCCACATCTCTCTCTCTCTCTGTCTCTCTCTGGCAAGCACATGTGCCCCATAGGAAATAACCAAAAGAAAACTTTTTTTAAAGAGTCTGGAGGCATGCCACTGGAAATTGGGTTTGCCAGTGTCCAAGAAAAATCTAGATTTTTATATGGTTAGTATGACTCCAGATGCATGGGAATAAGAATACCTTTTTTTTTTTTCTTGGTTACTATTTTTAAGTCTTTATTATGGGTTAGGAACTGAGGATTTAGTGATCAATAAGCCAGACAGGCCAATGACTTTAAGATCTTCTCCTTCAGGTTTTGATCTTCTTACTCAGGAAAGGAAAGAAAACAGCATGGGAGTGGCCCTACTGTGGGCCTGACTTCAATGCCTCCCCTTGCTATCCATGGGGATCAAAGAAGTAGAGACACTGGAGCTGAGAGCATCTCTGCTGGGGCTCCCGAGCCAGAACCTTCCACCGAGCTCCTCGAGAGGCCGAGTACCCTAAGAGAATTCAGGAGGTCAGTTTTCCACAGGCCAAATGAACCTAATCATCCAATTCCCCAAATGGAAGAAGGATCCATGGTTTTATTCATGCTATTAGTTCTTTATAGAAAGTTTTTGATACAACTTGAATTACATTTTAAGGTAAAAAAGTTTATCGTACTGTTTCAGGGTTCTTAATTTGTTAAATATTAAGGCAGAATAGAAATAAAAATATCTTCAACTTAATAGATCTGTAGCCTTTTTCTTTGAAAAATGCTTAGAGGTAGATTAGAGGAAGGGAAAACACGGTAAGGTCCCTTATAATCACCTGATGTGTGTATTATTTTTTCAGGTTGCATCTAGGAAGGATTTATATTTCTGAACCTGCTCAGAAAGAGTAGAATGGGAGGTTTAACTAGAGCTGCAATGCTCTTAAAATTTTTAAAAACGTATTATTTTAAGTTGTAACAATATATCTGGTGGCCTTTATTGAAAATGATGAACATGGTATTAACTTTGATTTCTTTCCTGGTGCCTAGAAAATACATGTTGTGTGCCCCACAAAGATGTACAATTAAATGTAAATAATAAAAATAGAAAAAAGTTATTAAGTTATGACAATATAACATATGTTCAGTAGGAAAAGGAAACAGTACTCAGAATCCCACTAGCCTACCATAACCACCCTTCAGTAATCAGCCTTTGTCTCCTGTGAGTGACATGTCTGCTAACTGAGCCCAAGACATGGAAAAGTCCAAGGCTGTGTTCCCCAGATTAACATAGGTCACTCCTAAGAAAATGATTTTGCAATTTATATTTTCAAAAGATAAACTCCCATTCAACACACATTACCGTTCTGTGAACAGACCATTATTAAATTCCTTTTATAAATCAGAAGATAGGGAGAGGAAATTGCAACTCACTCTCTGGCTATTTGAGACACAGATTCCAAAGAAAATACCACATTCAGTCACAGTAATAAAATATTTTAACCATGATGTGCAACATGGAATTCTGAACTCACAGCATGAATACATTCAAACATCTTCACACAGACATAATGCCTGGGTAATCATGGCTTGAAGTCATGAAATTCAATTTCTATTTTTTTTGGGGGGGGAAGAGAGGTTTTTTTTGCTATAGGGTACGTGTGCTCAGCAGAAAGACAGAGAGACAGAAAGTGAGAAATCACTTTCCCCCCAGGGGGGATGACCACCTCGCAATCCCTTCTCCTCCATTGTCCTCTCAGGATCTTAGGCACACATGCACACGCGCGCCCGGAGTGAGTTTAAGCCACCAGGTCTGGGACTTGAACTGTGGTCGACTACATGGGAGACCAGTGACAAAGCCATTATGCCAACTGTTGATCCCCAATTTCTAATTTTAATCAATCTCAGTGACTGAAAAAAAGATACATGTAACTTTTATTCCTTTAATTTCTAGAATAGATGTTAACAAGTTTTAAAGAAGAACTCTACCCATGTCATCTCCTTTTTAATTTTAAAATATATGTTGGTCCATTACCAAAGTACAGACCAGCACTTAACTGGAAAGCTGTGCAAATGCATTACAGAGATGCTGAATGTCACCATTCCATTCAAATGCACACACTGGTATCAACACAGGAAAGGTGGGCACAAGGAGATAACAAACAGACAAGAATTCTTGAACTTAATTTCCCTGAGGAGCCCCACCCAGCCCCACCCAGGCCACTTTCCCCTTTCCCTCAGAACGTAGGGACCTATGTCTAGTTTGCACTAATTATGGATCCCTTCCTCCCTCACTGCCCCTGCCTCCCCACCAGCAAAAGTGTTCTCATGTTACATTCATGTATGTCATTCTACAACCAGAATTCTTTAAGGGAAATATTTGTCATAGGAAGTTCTTAATAAATATTAGAACAGATTTTTTTTTCTTTGCTCTCAGTCACAGAGCCTAGGAAGATATAGACTCTAAATGCAAAATTTTAAAAACAATCTTGGTCATTGTTGCAGAATGCCTTTAGGGCTGTTTGTTTGTTTATTTGTTTTTAATAAAATCTTTTAATGCCAGGGTTTGAAACATTAAAAAAAGATATTATTAAGAATATCACATAGACCCAGAAACGGTGGTGCAGGTGGTAGGGCACCACTGTGTGATACTGAAGCCATATAGGAGGCCCAGGTTAGATCCCAGCTGGCTGAGAGGCTGGAGGGTGGAGAAGAGTTAGCGCATGGCAACAACCTATAAAGGGTACTTGTCTTTTTCTTTCTCACTCAGGAAAGAAATAAAAATAAACTAAAAATAGAATACAACAGCTGTATTAAGTATTCAAAATTGTACGGTGCATTTTTATATTAATACTCTCATTTAGCACTGATATCATGCTCAGTGGTAGCTTTCCCAGTTAAAAAACTAGATATAGGAAGGTGAAAACAAAAATCCTTCTTGGAGGCCATCATGGTGGTAAAGGCACCGATTCCCACCTGGCCAGCTGTGGTTTGAGTCCCAGACACAGCATCTTGAAAATCACTTTGGGTGTGTGAACATGTGTGCCCAAAATCCCGAGGTGAGAATGGAGGAGAGAAAATTGATGCGTGACCATCTCTCTGAGGTGTGATTTCTCACTTTCCCTCTCTCTGTATCTCTCTGGTGTGCACATGTGCCCTATAGCAAAAAAAAAAAAAAAAATTAAAAAAAATTTTTCAAAAAAAAAATCCTTCTAGGTCATGCTGTAACAAACAGCATACTCTGGAACAGAAGTGACTTAATTTCAAGATACAGTGAAACTAAAGCATATACAAAGGCCATAAATAAAAAACACCCCCCCACACACACACACACACATACCCAACAAGACCACCATTAACAGAAGTCAACTCAGAGGAAGATGATAGTTTTAGAAACTGGGTCAGTTAGATTCTGGATAGCAACCAAAGACTGGCTTTGTTCTATCAAGTACTTTCCATCTCCTTTAAAATAGAGGTAACCTGGTTGTTTTTCAGCCCATTTGGTTTACGAAGAAGCTTAGAGAAAGCTATAGGTAAAAAAGGGACTGACTCTTAAATATAAAGTGTTAGGGGAAAAGATATCTGGGCTGTCATGGTGGAATTCAGGGAGTGTGTGTGTGTGCGCGTGTGTGTGTGTGTGTGTGTGTGTGTGTGTGCGTGTGTGTGTTTATTCCATTTTTCAATGTTTCTTTTTAGTCATTTAAGAGGTTGGACTCTTCCTGTACTTTAAAGAGAAATGCAGATGCTTTAAATGGTGCCTTGAGAAAGGACATCCCATAAACCAACATGTGACGTCTACTAAGTTGATCCTAATAAAACTGGCTTAATGGGTAACAAAGACCGCAATCAACCTTGGGTTTCCAAACGGATAATGAGATGTGCTCTATTTTCCCAAGTAGGTGGAAGAAGGGTGGTTAAGGGAAGAAGGTGAAGGTAGGGTAACTATAAGAGAGGAGTGAAAAGAAAGAAATGAAATAAAATGTGAAAGCTACAAAGAAAGAATAAAACTTTTAAAAAGGCAGGTGAGGAAACAAGACACCCATAGACAGATTGGGTGATGTGCCAAGTGCCCCTCACCAGCCAGGTTTTCACAGTGAAGCATCCTGGAGATTCGGATTCCTGATGACAATGCCATGTCCTATGGCTTCTCTAGGGTTATATGCTCTTATGGTTTGGGTGTTAGAATTGAAGGTTCTTGGTGTAAAGTTTAAGATTAGGCCTACTTGTTTCACCACTATTTATTTACCATCAACCTCTACCTCCCACAAAGAAATCTACTGTATCTCCATTACTTGCTAATTTTCCCTGCTAATGTGCTGTAGAGGTATGGTGAGGATAGCGTAAGCAGACTTTATTCTATCTCCTTACTCTAAAGAGAAGTTTGAAATTGTCATGGGTGGTTTATTTGTGCGTGTTACGTCTTAGGTTTTGAATATATGACTAACGCTCTTTGCCAATATACAATGGAAAATGATGAGTTGGGCTTCTCTTCCCTCTCTAATTCCCCTACCTGCTTCCAAGATGTTTATACTAGAAGCCTTTCGCAATACATCTGAAAGCTGGGGGGCTCAGA